GTATATCGTCTCAAGTTTTTGATTTTATAAGAAAAAAAAAACACATGCCTGATGATGGATAGAAGACTATCCGTAAGTACTAGCATTTTAACATCAAATAAACTGAAAAACTACAGACAACAAGTTTTTCGTCAAGGATCTCGCACTATGGATGAACAGGATTTTAATGCATATATTATGTTTTCTAGCGATGGATGTCGCCAATAATCGCTTTAATACTTCAGATTAATTCTATGTGTGATTGTTCTTTGTATGTAAATCATATGCTGCCTAATGTTTTATGTATATATATATATATATATATATATATATATATATATATATATATATATATATATATTATTACGACTAACCGCGTTCCTGTATTTACTAACAGAATTACCCATTGTATTTTTGTGTAAATACATTTAATTTCTTATCTTTAATTCTTGCGTTTGTCATTTATTGGAGACCGAATTTCATCTCGGGAATCCACAACACACACACATATATATATATATATATATATATATATATATATATATAGAGAGAGAGAGAGAGAGAGAGTTCATGCCTAAGGAAACCCAGGTTCGAATCTCACCACGGTTGATTTGTCAAGAAGGAGACTTCTTGAAATTATCAGTCTGGAGGGAGATTATCCCTTTGTGGAGACGGAAGCCTTGGTGGGAGGCGTCGATAGCTGTGCTAGCACGAAGTCACAAGTCATTGTGACCGAGGCTTTGAGTGTGTGTCTGGTGCTGTTCAAATTTTTCAAAATATTCAAAATGCTAGATAACACGCCTCGCCTGAAACTAAACGTCTGCAACAGTGATTGGCTAGCCACCTTAGTAGACGGGTATAATTGGAAACGAGTGGCCAGCTATAACTATATATATATATATATATATATATATATATATATATATATATATATATATATATAAGTGGACATTGAGGTTAAAAACTTAGGGGCGACAATCTGTTTCATGCCTGAACGTAATGCTCAGGCGTTGGGCGTAGTTTGTTGGTTCGACTATTTACATATGCTGGTCCATGGGGCAATATGTGTAGGAAGATTGCATATGCGTGGCTTCAACAGTGGCGAACCACACAGACATAGTATCTAAACACTGCGTTGAAACATGAAACAGACTTTCGTCACTCAGGGTTGACCGAAATGCCGACATTCATATTTACACACGCTCATTTTTATGTTTATATGTTCTTTTTACAAATATTCAAGTAAATGCCCTGTTTATAATAAACAATATTAACAACCTTCGGCGTAGCCTCCTTCGGGTTCCTCTCCGTCCGAAGACAGAGAGTTCAACCGAACAGTCGCTCAGAAAATGAACGACTGACTCACTCTCTGACTGTATCACTTCCGACTCCCGGGTATTCACCGGCAGCAGTACAAAACACACTGAGCGAGTCCACTTGTATAAAACTGGGTTGGGTGGACTATATAATATAAATATATATATATATATATATATATATATATATATATATATATATATATATATATATATATATATATATCGTTGAAATCTTCCAAGACATTTCTTTAATTATTGGACTAATGCACTTACAACAATAGATATTTTGAATTATTCTAATTTTTTTTTCAAAAATCTAGCGTTGCACTTCTGCACGTCCGAAAATATTCTTAACTGTTAATAAAATGACACTTTTATTAAAACATATTTCGACAAGGAACACATTCATTTCGTCTTGGAATATTTCTTTGAAATTACCTGAAGCTGAGGAAAAAAATAACATCTATACCTGAAGATGGTGCTTGCATGCATCGAAAGCTCTTGCAAACTAGATGGACAGAACGTGTCGTTCAGCTAGTTGTCAGTAAGTTAATGCCTTTTTAATCTGTTAATGAAGTGAATTCGACATTAATATACATTCTTATATATATATATATATATATATATATATATATTTATTAAAGACATTTTTATGTTTAGCGTTCTTTTTATAGATACAAGTATTTAAGTAAATGCTCTGTTTATAATAAATATTTACTTAAATATTTGTATCTATTAAAAAAGAACGTTAAACATAAAAATGTCTTTTAAATAAATTGTCGGTTTTGTCCATTTTTTTATATATATATATATATATATATATATATATATATATAGTCATCCACAGACAGAGTGTTTCACTGTATCACAGTTCCTCAATGTGGCTGAACGACCGATTGCTTGAAGCCGGATCGAATGCCGACTTTCAGGTATCTTGCCTCTAGGCCATCCTTACATGACAAAAAGGACGTTTTTTTCTCTATACGAAATACGCCAGCGACGCGGGTACTGAATTCAATTTACTTGAAGAGTAATGTTTAATAGCATAAGGAACCGCTGTTTTTTAAAACCACATTTCTCTAGAGAGCTCAACCGGATTCCGGGAATCACACACACATATATATATATATATATATATATATATATATATATATATATATATATATATATGAAGCTTAAATGTCTGTAAAAGTAAATGATGTAAAATGTGTGCTATATTTATGGGATAAAGTGCTCAATATCAGAGATAGAGCGTATGTAAATATAAATATAAAATGAACATTGAAGTCAACAATCAGAGGCGACGGACTATTTTTCATGCTACAGGAAACTCATCAGGCGGATATATATATATATATATATATATATATATATATATATATATATATATATATATATATATATATATATATATATTTAATATATAATTTATGTCAGAATTTTTCAATAACCAAAAATTACTATTCTTAAAAGATTGTTCAATACAGAGTAGAGCAGATATAATTATTTATTTAATAAATTATTTTATATATATATATATATATATATATATATATATATATATATATATAGAGAGAGAGAGAGAGAGAGAGAGAGAGGAAGGAGGGAATTCATATAAACGTTTTGTTACTTAGCTGCTTGTTGTTTTTAAGCATCGTTTCATAGACGTACCTGTCCGTCTGCTCTTCAGGACTATCAGTAATAGACTGCTTATATTTTGCGATTTTTTATGTACTTTCCTCATTTGTTGTGTTCGTGTGAGCGTTTAAACTCAAGCAGCAATATGTCCGCCTGTGCACCCGTCCGTGCGGATCAGTGGACGTGTAGAGAGTCGTGATTATTTTCTTGATTTTTTTTTTCATTTTAGACACACTCTTTAAGGTTTGTTTTTTTGTTTGTGATATAATATTGATTTTCGGTGGTGTTTAATTATATTTATGTCTTCATTAAGGCTAGTCATATATATTTTACTTAAAATTTATTTTTAGTGGATACTCGGCTTTTCTAGCAATATTTATTTTCCTCTACCGTAGCCAAGAAATCGACGCACATCAGATCTAATGATGTTTTTACCTAGGTGAACGCAGGTTCGAATCTTGTCGCGGAGAGCATTTTTTTTTTCTATAAAGATTCCCTGAATATTTAAGCCAGTAGACGATAATACTGTCTAGTAAATAACTGGGACGTCTACTCAAATACGTGTATCCACATAAAATGACGTTTAAGTAATAAAAATCTGTCAGATTAATAGATAAAAATACATTCCTTTCTTTATACATACATATATATATATATATTACAATAAACGTGCAATCAATTTACAAATACATGAATTATTCACACAAAACTAATGCAAAGGTTAATGATTTAAATGGCGAGACATCCATCTCGCAAACAATTCAAATAGTACACAAAAACCTCCAGATCCGTTATGAATGAATTGATCCGTTATGAATGAATTTCTGCCGTATTAGTTATTATTTTTACTACAAGCTTTCGTCTGTTCCTACAGACATCTTCAGGTATATAATAGATGTTGTTCTTTTTTTCTCTTACTAATAAGAGGACATCGAAAATATATGTTATTGTATCGAAATGCTATTGAAAATGAGTTATTGGTTTTTGAACGCGCCAAAGCAACGCTGAGTTTGATTTTAAAGTGTTTGCGTTTTTAAAGTGTTTGCGTTTATACCAAATATGGTGATGAACAAATTATTTTACTGGTAAATTTTTACTGTCAAAGTGGCATGAACTATATTGTTCAATAATTACAGTAATGTCGCGTTCAAAAACCAATAACTCATTTTTCAATAGCATTTCGGATACAATACACATATATTTTCGATGTCCTCTTATTACTAAGAGAAAAAACAAGAACAACATCTATTATATACCTGAAGATGTCTGTAGGAACAGACGAAAGCTTGTAGTAAAAATAACAACTAATACGGCAGAAATTTATATAAACAAGGATCAATTCATTCATAACGGATCTGGAGGTTTTTGTGTACTATTTGAATTGTTTGCGAGATGGATGTCTCGCCATTTAAATCATTAACCTTTGCATTAGTTTTGTGTGAATAATTCATATATATATATAGAAAAAGTTTCAAATTAAAAAAATAATGTTTTATTTTATGAAAGTATTTATTTATTTATATAAAAATATATATATAGTTTTAAAAACAAGGAATGTATTGATTTTAATTTTAAAAGTCTCTAGGGCCCTTTCAGCCAACATCTCATCAGGAGACAATCGTTGGATCAGCGAAAAGAATATTAACGACAATGAAGAGCAAAAAAAGGGGGGGAAAACACGCTAAAATAACAAACAAGTGTATATACTTGTAACGAGGAGGGAAAGAATCGTAAATAAATTAGCGAGGGACAGTTAAAATAAGATATCCCCAACAGATTAAGAGACTTTTACAAATTCTTTTCTGCCGACAGAGAGAAGGTTTCCTTAATCCTATACAGACCGATTCCAAAATCTTCAAATGATTATTGGAATCGGCTGTATGAATAATTTTAAACCACTCTTTTTTATATAAAATATAATTTATATATATATATAAATAAATAAATACTTTCATAAAATAAAACATAATTTTTTTAATTTGCAACTTTTTCTATATATACATATTAAGAAAGTATACGTGGCTTCTCATTATTGTTTTTAACTTCTGTCTTGACTTGTATAAGTTCTGTCTTCCTGTTCCTCCTCACGACTTTGGTGTTTTTTTTACCTTTTTTCTATCTCCCTCTTAAATGCCTTTTCCCTTATTTGCGGCTTGTTTCTCTGTTTTCTCCTCTTTTTTCCTCTTTCTTTCTACCCATTTACTTTTATTATTTAAAAAAAAACCGTTATGATTCATTCTTTTATCAAATGTTTTCGTATTGACAAGCTCCAGGGAATTTATCCTGTGTAATTAAATGGCTATAAAAATGGGGTAAAATTTCATTTTTATGTAATTCATTTCTATGCAATATAGTAAATATATAGAGCTCTCTTTTTTGAATCAGTTTTAATGTTTTATATTAATAGAATTCTATTGGATTACTTACCCACTGATTTATATATATATATGTGTGTGTGTGTGTGTGTGTGTTTGTAGAAAAATAAGAAGGAACACGTTAGGTAAATAATCCGGAGTTCTTTAGTAATTTTGTTTTTATTTTTTAAAAACAGTGCTCCATACAGAAGTAGAGCTTTAATAATTATATTGAGGTTTTCGGTTCTCGTTTTTGAAACATGAAAACTCGAAGCGTAGGAATCATATTTTTTGTATATATATATATATATATATATATATATATATATATATATATATATATATATATATATATTAAAGACATTTTATGTTTAACGTTGTTATTTATAGATACAAGTATTTAGCAAATGCTCTGTTTATGATAAATGTTATTTAATACTTTTATCATAAAAGAGCATTTGCTTAAATTTGTATCTATAAATAACAAAGTTAAACATAAAATGTCTTTAATAAATAAATTGTCGGACCTTGTCCATTTCTTAATATATGACGTCATTTGTTTACATTTGATACTCCAGAGCAGTTATGAATGTACGAGATTCATGGAAGATTGAAGTTTATAAGCAGAAAATTCGACTTTGTCTACTGAAAGGTTCTTTGTGGCCGAGACGGTTAAGGCACGTCATCGTAAATGACGGTTCCGTATAGGATGCAGGTTCGAATCCTGTCAAAGAACGAATATTTTCTATGAAAATTTCTCGGATATTCAGGCCGGTAAATGTTACTTAATACTGTTTATTATAAACAGAGCATTTACTTAAATACTTGTATCTATAAATAACAACGTTAAACATAAAAATGTCTTTAATAAATAAATTGTCGGACCTTGTCCATTTCTTAATATATATTTGGGAAGAACCCTTCTTTTATGCAGGTTTCATTAAATATGACAGGCAAGGTATATAATTTTTCATGTGATCTTATATTTTTTCTTTTCAGTATATAAACTATATAAATACTGTCCGAATATTGTTTTTTTTTTCGAGCGGTTTCGGCTATACATTTAGCTATTTTCAAATTTGAAATATATTAACAGTTAACTATAAATAGATTGTTGTATGTATATATTTATATAATGTTTCATTCTTAAAACAAAGTCAAGATATTGTGCCTATGGTCATAGTTGATATAAAGTGATTTTTTGTTTTTATATGTATGTGTGTGTGTGCGTGTGTGTGTGCGTGTGTGTGTGTTTGTGTAAATATCATTTTGGAGTTTACATCAAGTTAAGCAAATATGCCTATATAAATATTTTAAGGAAGAGAAAAAGGAAAATTTAAAATTGTTTCCTCCTGTCTGACATTTTTTCTTTCTACATCGCCTCATCAACTCCCCGCTTAACTGACTGGTCTCTCTTCAATAACCACTTTTCCTTCGCTTCGCCTTCCAAATCCTTGATTTTTCCTTATATGTCCATCTTCTACTTTGTAGTCTCGTCTTTCCCGGTCGGCATTACGACCCTTCCTTTTTACCCTTCCTTTTTACCCCGTACTTACCATCTTTTAACGCAAACAATCCCAGAGATATTTTTTTCTCATTCCTTCTTCACTTCGAGTCAGACCCTTATCTATCCCCAGTGCTTTTAAATTCAGTCTACTCGTTAATTTGGGGGGGATTTTTTTAACCTTTAAAAATCGGCAAAAGAGACCGTCACGTGTGTCGATATCAGGTCAGGATCTGACAGAGAATTCTTTCTTTGTGGCGTTCAACAAAAAATCGAGTGTATAAATAAATGCATTGGAAAAAGCGTATATATATATATATATATGTTAGGTTGGTGCAAAATAATGACGTAATAATGTCGTTTTTGACGTTAAAAAATGCGTCAACTATATATATATATATATATATATATATATATATATATATATATATATATATATATATATATATATATAGAGAGAGAGAGAGAGAGAGCTCTGAGATGAGGTGTTACGATTATTTACATTATTCGGACTGTTATACCCATCTTAATTGTCATGTTTCGGTCGTTGTACGCTCCGGCCTTCTTCAGGTCATTAGAATGCCGGAAGAGGCATTGTATCGAGAGTACAACAGCCGAAACGTTGTGAATATGGCAATGAAGATGAAGATATAGTCTGAATATATATATATATATATATATATATATATATATATATATATATATATATATATATATATATATATATATATTGAGTCACACAACGGAATTTGTGAAGAGCTGGCGCTATATCGAGTCTGGTTTGTTACCTCTCCTTTGGTCTAGTGGGTATGCGTCATATCGTAACGGTTCGGGGTTCGATTCTCTGAAGAAGATACGCACTGCTGATGAGTCCAGTGCTTTCTGCATTCTGTTGAGGAATCTTCTAGACAGTATTAATTAATGATTTATATATATATATATATAGCTGCCAAAACTTTGGGAATATGATAACAGTCCGAATAATGTGCGCGCATAGACATATACATAATTTATACGAAAATTATAACATAAATATGTTATAAAATCGCTACAAAAATTCCCATTTTGTTTTAACATTTCTGGTGTCTCATCAAGTGATGGTGACATTTGCTCTAATCTGTATTGAGCACTCTTTAAGAATAGTAATTTTGGTTACTGGAATTTATTCCGTATGAACAAATCCTATCCTTATATATATATATATATATATATATATATATATATGCACACATATATATATATATATATATATATATATATATATATATATATATATATATATATATATATATATATATAAAATATATATTAAAAAGCAGTAGAAGTTTATCTATTGTATCTATATATATATATATATATATATATATATATATATATATATATATATATATAAAGAAATATAGTCTTAAGGTGTGCTATATTTATGGAATAAAGTGCTCAATATCAGAGATAGAGCGTGTGTAAATATAAAAGTGAACATAGAAGTCAACACTTAGAGGCGACAGTCTGTTTCATGCTATATGCAATCGTCAGGCCACAAATGCTGTTATTTTTCTCGGGTATTTATATATATATACGGGTTAGTGGTGCATTGTGGGTATTCTATTATGGCGGTTATTTTACCGGAAGTCGTTTGTTTATTTATTTGGGTCAGGTTATATTGCTCGTTTTTATTTTTTGTTTCTTATTTTATTTATTTATTTATTAACGTAGTAAAAATTGTTTATCTCACTTATTTAACAGTTCAGTTTTGATTTGAGAATTTAATTAAAGCTATTTGTTTATTTATTTTGCTGTCGCCTCTAAGTGTTGACTTCTATGTTCACTTTTTATATATATATATATATATATATATATATATATATATATATACAGCAACACAGTTGGGTGCACCTGGAAAACTCGTGATGATCAGTAATTGGCGGCTGATCTCTCCCCTGATATTGCTCTAATTTTTTAGTCAGGAAAAAAATGTCTGGTTATATTCAATGCCGCGACAAATCAAACTAGTTGCATTCCATCATCAGCGATCGAACCCATCTATCTATTTCCATTTTTTTCACGATTATTTCTTTTAATCAGTTCATTTCATGCAAGGCGATAATGCCACTAAGACGTAAGAGGCTACTGGGAGAGAAAGATAATGAAAGACTTTAGAAGGAACCGAAAACGGGAAGCAAGGGATACACTTCTACTCTTGTTCAAAAGACAGGACAGGTGTTTCAACTCTGCGATGGGCAAGCCTAACTACTTTTATTATTATATATATATATATATATATATATATATATATATATATATATATATATATATATATATATATAGTCGAGGAATCTAAATGGAATAATAATAAAAAACGAAAGAATATTAATCTACAACCCAGTGTGTCTAAAGATTTTAATTTTCTATTTTCTTATTGTTCAATATATATATATATGTAATTAGTAAGTAAAATTTCTGAGTTCAGACGGTAACATTAGAAATATAGAGCTTTTTTTTTAAGCATTCACACTAAACAAGGCGGGAGTGTTACTAGCACGCGATAAGTTACAGAAAATGAGAGCAAAAGTAAAAAGGTGTGTTTGCGGAAAGGATAAAGAGAAGGACAGGGTTCAAGATCAAGGAATTAGAAGATGTCGATTGGCATTACATTTGAATATTTGAAGACTATAGCCACCACGGAAGCAAGTAGTAGGAACGGTGCTCTATTGTCGGGAAGTGCGAGAGTAGAAGCCGTTGGAGTAGAAGTGGCGGTTACATTTAACTGTTTCGGTAGTGAAAAGTTGTGACCGAGATGCCAACCTAGTAGCACGCTTAAATTCCTGCAATTTGGGAACCAGTGAAAGGAGCTCGTCAGACCAGTTGCCATGAAAATACTTGTAGAAAAGACAGAGGGAAGCCAAAACACGTCTGCGAGAAAGTGACTGTAGACGAGATGCCAGATCAGGATCTATCACATTGCATATTCGTCTCTGGATTTTGTCGACTTTGGATGGAAGCGGAAACCCAATCCTAAACAGGAAATTTAAGGGATATCATCTAATGCTGTTTTAAAACTCGGGAAGCAGTGTGAACCAGACCACATGAGAGCCTATCTCTTCCTATTGAGGAGAAAAACTAGAGTAAATTAAATAAAAAATAAAAATAAATAAATAATAAATAAAATTTCAGATTTCACGCAGAGACGTTAGAAGTATAGGGTTGACGCAGAATTTAGAAAGAAACAGAAACTCAATCCGAAACGAGAAACAACACCTCTAATCCAGTTACAAAAAACTAGTGAGGGGTTCGAACCGCGTGACAGTTGAATATCTAATTTTATTGAGGAGTAAATTAACTAAAATAAAAAAAAAATTAGTAAATAAAATGTCTGAGTTCAGATGGAGACGTAAGATGCATAGAGTTGAAGAAGTAAGGACAAATTAGATCTGAAACGGTAAATAAAATAAATCATTACTTCTCTCCTATTCAAAAGACTAGGAAAAGTGTGAACCGGACGTTAGACGAACCTATCTACTCGTATTGAGAAGAAAACTGAATAAACAGTAAATATTTCATAGTTCAGGTGGAGACGTTAGAAGCATTGACTCAATAAGGAATCGGATACCAAATCCTAAAGAGGAAACAAGAGATAAACTTCTACTGCTGTTTAATAGACATTAGAAGGAACCGGAAACCCATTCTTAAACAGGAAACAAAGAATAAACTTCTGATCCTGTTTAATAGATTTTAGAAGGAACCGGAAACCCCATCATAAAGAGTAAACAAGATATAAAATTCTACACCTGTTTTATAGACTTTAGAAGGAACCGGAAACCCATTCCTAAACAGGAAACAAGAGATAAACTTCTACTGCTGTTTAATAGACTTTAGAAGGAACCGGAAACCCAATCCTAAACAGGAAACAAAGAATAAACCTCTGCTCCTGTTTAATAGACTTTAGAAGGAACCGGAAACCCATTCCTAAACAGGAAACAAGAGATAAACTTCTACTGCTGTTTAATAGACTTTAGAAGGAACCGGAAACCCAATCCTAAACAGGAAACAAAAAATAAACCTCTGCTCCTGTTTAATAGACTTTAGAAGGAACCGGAAACCCAATCTTAAAGAGGAAACAAGAGATAAACCTGTTTAATAGGCATTAGAAGGAACAGGAAACCCCAACCTAAACAGTAAACAAGATATAAACTTCTACACATGTTTAATAGACTTTAGAAGGAACCGGAAACGCATTCCTAAAGAGATAACAAGAGAAAAACCTCTAACCCTGTTTAATAGGAATTAGATTGAACCGGAAACCGTATCCTAAACAGGAAATTAAAGGGATAAACTTCTCATTTTCAAAAGTCCGCTGATCAGTATGAATCAGGCGATAGGCAACCTCTCTACTGTTATACCAAATGTCTTAGTGAAGCGTAATTTCTCGTTTGTTTTAATGTCTTCCCTGTTTTTTTTTATGCAATAATAACTTCGCAAATTAAAAAAAAAATACTCGTATCACTTTCCTATTTATCTGCATTGGATCTCATTTTTGAAGTCCTTTTCTTTATAGCATTTTACTTAGAAACAACCAGCTCACGGAGTTTACAGGCATTTATATATTTAACCGTTCACGAATGGCAAGAAATGGGATCTGAAAATTTTAAAAATATGTTTATGAAGCGTACTTTTGTTTCACTTAATCGTTAACTAGCCAATCTCAACCTGACTTAAATCGATGAAGGTCTACTTGGCTAGCTTGTTAACCAACCTTCCCCGGTGACGATAGTGAGAAATTATTTTAATCAGTAAAGGCATAAAAATAAACGTGAAGTTTTCACAAATTCATATGTTTGTCAAGCACGAATAAATATTAGCCGTTGAATTCACTTCAAATCCAAAGCTAATTGATTTATTTATCGTGCTGAGAAACTTGTAATATGAGTCAATATCTAATTTACCGATCTGTCCGTCAAGACATTTTAGTATAAAAGTTTCAAATAAAGTTAAAATAGCAAACGTTTAGCCAAAAGATGATATATCGATGGGAATCTTATTTGAAGACATTCCAACGATAATGTTGCCTGTGACGATTAATGGGAAAGATGTTCGGGGGTGGGGGTAGTGGAGAAAAAGATGGAGGAACAAAGAAAGTAGCGTCACAAACAAACTACAAAGAAGAATGAAGAGTTTATGAGTTTCGAGGTTGCCAATGTGGAAATGTTAATAAAGAATTAGTGATTGTTTTATGTGAAGAAGAAGAAGAAGAAGAAGAAGAAGAAGAAGAAGAAGAAGAAGAAGAAGAAGAAGTATACAGGGAGGAGGTGCACGAGAAGGGAAGAATAATAAGAAGCGTGTGAACAAGAGCAGGAAGAGAAGAAGAAGAAGAAGAAGAAGAAGAAGAAGAAGAATAGAGTGAGGAGGTACACGAGAATGGAATAATAATAATAATAATAATAAGAAGAAGAAGAAGAAGAAGAAGAAGAAGAAGAAAAAGGAGAAGTCGACGACAATGACGATGACGGCGGCGACGCCGGGTACGAGCAGGAGAAGGGAAGAGTAATAAGAATCGGGAAAAAAAGAGTAGTAGAAGAAGAAGAAGAAGAAGAGGGTGAGGAGGAGGAGGAGGAGAAGGAGAAGACGAAGACGAAGAAGAGGAGGAGGAGGAGGAGAAGAAGAAGAAGAAGAAGAAGAAGAAGATGATGATGATGAAGAAGATGGAGATGAAAACAAAGAAAACGAAGACAACAAAGAAAAAAAGAAGACAGCCAAGAAAATGAAGACAAGAAGAAGAAGAAGAAGAAAAAGAAGAAGAAGAAGAAGAAAATATGTCCACTTCTACAACACTCTCATTTAGTAATCTTCTACCTTGAGTGACTCTTGTACCTTTATTGGGTGAAAACTAACTTGAACACTTTGGCTCTAGTCACTGGATCTAACCAACGCCTTTATCCACTGCGCTATGTGTCCTTGAGGACACATGGCACGTGGAACTAGAACAGTCTACCTCAGTGAGCGAAGTAAAGGGTTAAGTTCGACATTCCAAAGAGTGTGAGTTCAATACCCGGCTAAGGCAGTGGAAAACTTTCAGAAGGAAATTAACAGGAGATAACTGATAGATGACATCCATTAAACATGGCACGTGGAACTAGAACAGTCTACCACAGTGAGCGAAATAAAGGGTTCAGTTCGACATTCCAACCACCTGAAGAAGTTCGGAGCGTACAACGGCCGGAACGTCGTAATAAATATGGCGACAAAGATGAGGACAATAGTCTGAATAATGTAAATAATGTACATAAGACATCTCAGAAATATAGACAAGCCATATCCCTTTCTTGGAATTGACGAAGGTAACCGGTAGGTTTATTTGTTCCATCGAACCACACTTATTTGGAATGTTTTCTGAGAGAATTAGAAGTCCTACCAGGATTCATTATTAGTAGCCACAATCTTAACAAAATCAGATATGCAGATGACACAGTTTTGATGGCAGATACTGAAAGGAAACCGCTAGAACTTCCATAGAAGGTAATGAAGGAAAGCAAGAAGAAAGGATTAAACAGCAATTGCAAGAAGACAGAATGCATGGTTGTTAGCAAAAGGGACAAGCCAAAAGGCAAATTACAAATTGGGGATACCGAAATCAAACAAGTACAATAATTTAAATATCTGTGAAGTGTATGAAGAGAAGACGGAAAGTTCAACACTGAAATTCAGAGGTGCATTACTATAGCAGAAGATGTCTCCCAAAAGCTAAGCAGTGTATTAAGAAACATGAAAATATCGTTACAAACAAAGAAAAAAATACTGAACTTAAGTAATATCTCTCTTCCTATATGGCAATGAATTCTGGATAATCTCACAGATGAAGAAGCGACTTGAAGCAACAGAAATGTTCTACAGAAGGATATTGATGATACCATGAAACGAGCCTATGAGCAACAATGTTTTTAGAAAAAATGGGAAAAAAAAGAAATTTACACTTAATATCAAGAAGAAACAGCTGACTATTCATAGGGCACATAATGAGGAAAGATGGCTTGGAAAATTTGATGCTCACAGGACAGACTGAAGGCAAGAGGGGCAGAGGAAAACAATGAATAAATTACTTAATGGGCTTGAGTAAATGGATGGGGGAACAGGGATTAGGAAAAATAATAGAAAAAAATTATTAATTTATTAATGCCTACAAAGGACAGGAAATTATGGAGAGCCATGATCGCCTATGTCCTGAAGGAACCCAGCACATCGATGTAGAAGAATTTCATAAATATATTTAGCCGAATGATGATTAACGTTGAATTTCCGAAGATCGTAGCTGACAGGAAAACAAAACAAAACAAAATAAAAAAAAAACAAAAAACGGAGGAGTGTTCCACAAGCGAGAAGTGCGAGGGAAGAAATTATCGGAATAGAACTTACGGTTGAATCTAGCCATTTCAACTGTAAAACTAGCCGCTAACCTTGTATAACAATTAAATTCATGAAGCAGAGATACCAAAGAAGGAAGCTCGTCAGAACAATTGCCATTAAAATAGAAAAGGCAGAGGGATGCCATGTCTAGCCGATGGGAAAGCCATTAATGCCGATATGCTAGTTCAGGAGCTATTAACCCAGCATTCCTCACCTCGGATTTCCGAAAATGGATAGTCCCCTGGTAGGCACATCTCACGACAACTAAGCTACAACTGCGCCACACCGCGGGCTACATACACTCACTAAGTCAGGAGATTAGCGGGAGGGAAAAAATGAATCACGTTGCCGACTATGAATTACGTCAGGGAAGTTCTTTCAGTAGCGGATACAACATGTGGGATGCCAACCCTACATCCGGGTCTTTTTGTCTAGACAGCATCTTTAGAACGATTGCCATCCAAGGCTAAAAGTTCTTTCAAGCAATGAAGTGAAGTACCCCGCGCTCAGACGCTAACTTGGTATTTGAACTTCCGCGGGCTGTCTTACAGACTCCGGCTCCGGATTGGTCCCCAGGGTTTACTCCCGAAACCTTTCACAAGATTTGGCGCACGAAACTTCCATCCTCTTTAAAATTCCAAACCTTTCGAACATTAATTGAACCAGTCCTACTCTATGGATCAAAACCTTGGACATTATCTGCCCATCTAGAAAGACGACTGGATGGAACATATACAAATTTACTTAGAAGAATCTAAAACATTATTTGGAGATACCATGCAACGCTTAACACAATTTACGGATAACTGAGACCAATTTCCCTTAACCCGTTGAGCCTTGCGTTTCTGAACAATTTTAACCTTTCTGTCTGAGCTCTCGAGTCAAAATTCGCAAATTATTGATATGTAATGTTTCACGGTAGATATAAAAATAGTTACAAGTGATTACCCACCGTTCAACCCGTAGCTGGACATTAAGTCAATTTTCTCTACCACCGTTCAACCGGTGGCTGGGCACTACGTAATTTTCTCTACCACCGTTCATCCGGTGGCTGGGAATGCGTCATTTTCTCTACCACCGTTCATCCGGTGGCTGGGCATTACGTCATTTTTCTCTACCACTGTTAAAGCGGTGGCTGGGCATTAAGTCATTATTCTCTACCACAGTTCTACCGGTGGCTGGACATTGTCATTTTTCTCTACTACCGTTCACTCGGAGGCTGGCCATTAAGTCATTTTTCTCTACCACCGGTAAAGCGGTGGTCAGGGCTCAAAGCATTAAACTCAAACAAAAGCGATTGCTGTTTGCCGGTCAGTGCCACCGAGCGAATGGAGAGGTCGTCTTATCCTTACTTCAATGGCATCCGTCTGGAAGTGTCTTCTCGTTAAAATTGGCTTTCCCAGACATCATAGCTCGGGACACAGGGTTGGATACTGGAGATCTGGAGGCGGCAATGCAGGAGCGATAAGTGTGGAAAGGGGATTTTTAGTGGAGATCCGACCAACCACGGTGAGATCGAAGGATGATAATGACGATGATGAGGAATTATGGGTACTTTAAAATTTTGGGGTAACAAAACACTCCATGGGACTAAGGTTAAATTACAGATACTTCTTTGGATTTTGTCATACATCTCCAAATTATCAGACAATATCTGACAACAATATTCAGTGCACGGGCAAATGGTAGAATTATAAATGTACAGAACGTTTCAGGTGAGACAAATTGTCTGACACGATACAGTGAAGTAATTTTCCTGGCAGCAGACTTAGCATTTGACTTAATAAAGTACTCAATTAGTACTTTGGATTTTACTATCGAACTTCAAAACTATTACCGTTCAGTACTTTTCGTGTCCAGCGAGTGTGTTTATATATGTACAAATGCAGACACAAACGCAACAATAACTATTTGATCTATTTTTTCTGCACACATCTTTGTGCACCGGACGTTATTTTTCTCGTCCCTCTTTGGTCGAGTTGGATTTACACTTCTCCTACCCAGTGGATGGCGTGCAGAAAATAACAGCCAATGAGGCAGAAATCAATAACTAAATTAAACACGCAGTCACCGTCAGCCGACAGATAGGATTCGTTGCCAGGGTAACATGCGAAGCAAAGCAAGGAAAATTAATGAAATAAAGATACGAAAATAAAAGGAAAAAAAAATGAAAGAAAAGAAAAGAAAAGAAAGCAAAAAAGAAAGGGAAGAATTAAGATTTCGAAAAAGAGTGAAAAATGAAGGAATTTCCTAAGAAGGAAAATGAAGAAGAAATGAAAAAGGAAATAAAAATATATATATATAAAAAGAAAGTGAAAAAAACAAAGAAAGGAAGAAAGAAATAACTTTATTTTTGACAGGTTAAGGTTAGGGTTAAAAATATTTCTTATTATAAACTTTATTTTTGTCAGGTTAAGGTTATGGTTAAAAAAGTTCTTATAAACTTTATTTTTGATAGGTTACGGTTAGGGTTAAAAAGTTCTTATTATAAATTTTATTTTTGATAGGTTGAGGTTAGGGTTAAAAAGTTCTTATTATAAACTTTATTTTTGATAGGTTAAGGTTAGGGTTAAAAAGTTCTTATTATAAACTTTATTTTTGACAGGTTAATGTTAGGGTTAAAAAGTTCTTATTATGAACTTTATTTTTCGTGGGTTATGGTCAAAAAATTCTCATAAACTTTATTTTTTGTTGATTAGAGTTAGGGTTAACGTTACGGTTAAAAATATTATTATTATAAACTTTATTTCTAGTGGGTTAGGGTCAGGGTTAAGGTTAAAAAATTTCAAATTCTTATAAACTTTATTTCTCGGGTTTAGCGTTAGGGTTAGGAAATTTCCTTCTTATTATAAACTTTATTTTTCGAGGATACTTGTGCACGAGTTGCAATCCTTGTTTTTTTTTTCTGTTATCAAACAGTTAAATTAATAAGAGTTCGCCTAGACAAAACGTTAGTCAGGAAACAAATCTGTATCCCTTTTTCGACAATGTAAAAACCGTTTCTATGTCTAAAACGCGTCTTTGCCAACATTAATTTTTAAAGGAATTTTTATCAGACATTATTTTTATTACTATAAACGTTCTGTTGGTCCATGTGTATGAGATGATATTCCTGCTTTTTTATTTTTATTTTTTTTATGAAAATTTATATATACAGGCCGAGATGGAAAAGTCCTATTAAAGAATGATTGTGTTTCGGACAGGAATCAACATTGATATATTTGTGTCGTTTAAAGAAAATGATTTTTAAGACAAAAGGAAAGATAATTACATTGATGGCGTTATTCAACTTCTGGAGAATTGGTAATCCAAAAGATTTTCGTGATCTTATTCTCTTTCCAGAATCATAGGCTCTTTGGATTTTTATTTTTGGGAAATATTTCTTTCATACATTGGAGAATATTAAGTACATATCCAGTGTAACCCGGATATAAGAGAAACCCGGATATAAGAGTGATTTTCTCTGGTCCCAAATTAGAGCCTGTGTTAATGTATATAGACCAAACCCGGATATAAGATAAAACCGGATATAAGAGACTTCTTCTCCGGTCCGACAACTCTCTTATATCCGGGTTACACTATATTATACATATATATATATATATATATATATATATATATATATATATATATATATATATATACATATACATATATATATATATATATATATATATATATATATATATATATATACATACATATATATATATATATATATATATATATATATATATATATATATATATATATATATATATATGTATATAGGACTGACACGAACGAATAGAGTACACTTCCAACATTCGTAATATTTAATTTATTACAACAAAAGGATGGAAGAATCGTTACACAATTGCAGCTGTAACACGACTGCAATTGCGTTGCGATGTTTTTTTTGTAATATCCTGATATATATATATATATATATATATATATATATATATATATGTGTGTGTGTGTGTGTGTGTGTGAAAAGTGTATATATATATACATATATATAATTATTTATATATTATATGCGGTACTTATTAGAAAGCGCTCAATATCAGAAATAGAACTAACATATTTGGTTGGATAGATGTGAGTTTGAGACCATGGGTTTCACGCTTTTGCGATCGTCAGCTGACGATCGCAAAAGCGTGAAACCCAGGGTCACACACTCACATCTATCCAACCAAATATATATATATATATATACACTACACTTCAAAAGATTGACAGACGAGTGAAACCAATCCATCCCAAAAATGAAAAAGGGCTCAGACTCGTTAAAAAAAGAATGAATCAATTATCAAACTTATGCTTTGAGAAACATTTGCAACGAATGTCAAAAAATATGTGCTGCAATAATCAAGGCGATATTTTGATGAGAAGAAAATTTAATCATAATTTTTTTTTTCTTTTTGTAATAATAAATGTCTAATAAAAACATCATATGTGACTTTTTTTAACCATGTATAATATTAATTTCAAGTACAAAACAATTACTTCTTAAGACAATTTAAAAAATTATCAGGGGTGGCCTCAAACTTTACAACTGTAGCATATATATATATATATATATATATATATATATATATATATTAGTGTGAAGGAACGTGTGTTTGTGAGGAAGCGGCCTGTGTAACCTGTATATGTCTCTGCTTAGCGTGTACTTGTCATTGAATTTAATGTGTATGTTACTTTGCAGTTACATTTGTTTTATTTAATAAGCCTGACACAGTAGAAGGATACTTAGTAAGTGAGATACCCAAAATTATTTCATATATATATATATATATATATATATGTATGTATGTATGTATGTGTGTATGTGTGTAAAGAAGAGCGAGGGAGCAAAACGTAATAGCAAGAGAGGCATATAGAATAATACTATAAGAAATGAATGAATCAACTCTGGGGAAGACAGCGAAAACAATGCAAAAAAGAAAGAAAGAAAGAAAGAAAGAAAGAACCAACGAAAGAAAGAAAGAAAGAAAGAAAGAAAGAAAGAACAAACAGAGAAACAAAAAGAGATAAATAAAAAATGAGAGAAGAAAAAATGGTAAGAGAGAAACAGAAAATAGGAAAACACGAAAAAAGAGAGAAATAGCGTGAAAGGAATGAAAAAGATATGGAAAAAGAAAAACAGTACGATGAAGGAGAGAGAGAGAGAAAGAGAGAGAGAGAGGGCGTTGGGCAATAATACATCAAAAATGAGAGAAAGAGAAAGAAGAAAAGGAGAGAGCGGGGAAAGAGAAATATAGGGAGATAAATAGAAAATTGGAAAATAGAAAAATAAAGAAAGAAAGAAAGGTCGAGGAGAAAGAGAAACACAGAGAGTGAAGCAGAAAATAAGAAAACAATGAAAGAAAGAATGAAAGAAAAGTGGGAGTAAAAGAAAGAACGGTCGAAGAGAAAATGAAAAAGAAAGAAAGAACGATTGAGGCGACAGAGAAACAAAGAAAGAGAAATAAAAAATAGAAAATAAAAAAGAAAGAAAGAAAGAAAGAAAGAAAGATGAACGGTCGAACAGAAAGAGAAACAGAGAAATAGAGAAGTAGAAAATAGGAAAAAAAGAAAGAAAGAAAAATTGAAATCAAGAAGGAAAAAGAATAGTCGAAAAGAAAGTAAAAAAGAAAGCAATTTAGATGTGGGAAAGAAAGAAAGAAAGAAAGAAAGAAAGAAAGAAAGAAAGAAAGAAAGAAAGAACACATTAAGAGATAAGCGAATAAATAGAAGAGAAATGAAAAAATGGGATTTCATTGTTCATTTGGCGACTGAATAAATTCGATAGCGACGTCGGCAAGAAGTCAGGCTTCTGAGAACGCAGTTATTTACGTGTTACTCGATATTAAACGCGTGGCAGGAAGTTTAATAGTGCTTTCTGAGCTGGGAGGGACAACTCAACACCGCCGCCTCAACATCGCCGCCTCAACACCGCCGACTGAACGCCGGGATAAGTCAGGACACCTCAGCACCAGAAAAAAAACATAACATTTTTTTTTATAACCGAATAAAAGTAATTTATTAAGGATTAAACTTAATTAGTGAAAAAAAAATCTTCAAATAAGGCATTTGAAAAGGTATTGTGTCAAATATGAACCAGTTTTTTGTTTCTATTTATTCTTAACATTAGCTTGGTGCAAAAATAATGTCGTTTTTTGACGTTCAACTTAACGTCGAAAACGACATTATTTTTGCACCAACCTAATAAATAAAATCGAAAATAATTTTCTTAGAAAAGTAAATTGACAGATAAATAATAATTCAATGAAAAAACAATTCAATAAAAAAATTTAGTTATTTTTTCATATGTCAATTTACTTTATTAAAAAATTAATTTCTTTACGATTTAATTAAAAAATAATTTTAAAAATATTCACTAATTTATGTTTTAATCCTTGATAAATTACTTTTATTCGGTTCTAATATACCCTTAATAATATGTTTGTCTCTTTTCATATTCTCTCACACAGTAACTTCTTGCGTCTTAGTGGCTTTATTGCCTTGCAATGGGGTGAAATGATTTTAAACAAAGAAAATAGATAAATATATGAGGTTAATTTAAAATGTCCTTGCATCGTATTTTGTACAATGTTACAAACACCTCAAACTATTTTTGCATTTTGATAACCTCTTGCGCAAGCAGTGAAAAGTATAAATTTTACAAACTTAAGTAAAACATTCTGAAGCAAGCTAATTATTTCCTCCTTGGACTTAAGAAAAGAAACATGGTTCTCTGATTAAGCATATATTTTCTCGATGGAGAATAATCAATTTTAGACAAAATTGAAAAAATGGGTTATTACAAGAATTGAAACAATGAAAATGCAGAGCAGCATTAAATGTTCGAATTAAAAACAAAAGAAAAAGTTGCTTTCTGTGTTTAACGGGATTCAAAAGTAATTTTATTAAGAATCCTTTGAACCAAAACAATTAAAATAATGAGCAATTGGATCTTTGGAATAACGCATTCGGAGAGATTCTTTTTCTAATGACTGAAGTTAAAATTACCTGCATGAAATCGTCAACATGCTGTAAATGCGGTGTAGAAAACGATCCCAGAGTTTCAGTGTCCTGGGTATGACGATAAACTATATCCAGCAGCAATTGAGAGATTGGAGCTTTTGAGCATCGTAGAACCATTTCTTAATTGTTTTTGTTCCTATGTCTACCCTGATTCGGGGTGGTAGTACCTGTTAGGGTCCCAGCTATGGGCAAATAGTGAACCCCCAAACGAAAATCAGAAAATGAGCAAAAATATATTTTTATAGCAAAAGGACAATCAATGCAACACTAAAAAATATATATATAAAAATACATTTTTATAGTAAAATTACATTTTATGATCTACAAAATATATTTATAAAAAACATATTTTTACGCAAAAAGTATAAAATTATGTATATTTATAAAAAACATATTTTTACGCAAAATGTATAAAATTATGTACAAAATATATTCAGTTGAGGCCATAAATCCGCATTCAAAATGTTTAGATTTCGGCATTAAATAACCCATAGATGTTGATATGCCGCTAAACAAAATCAACAAAAACAAATCAACAGAGTTTTAAGGAGAGGTACTTCAAAGTGCTGCCTTTTTCCCCTGATCTGGTACATTGTATCAGTCCTTGGTGTTTAATATATGCGAAATACCTTGCTTCATCAGAAATCGTAACAACAAAAATGATTTATTTGGAGTATTCAAGAAAGTAAATTGGAATCGTTCTTTCGTGATAGAATACGCAAGTTAACTGAAAAGCAACATATGTTTATAGGAAAGCAGAGAAACTAATTTCAGCGATGAATCAAGATGCTATGGTTTTATGGAAATAGCAAAAAACACTGCGAATAAAGGAAAGTATTGTACCAGCCACAGATTTAAAGGAATGCAACTGGTTACATTAAAAAAAATAGGATCAATGATGGCTGGAAAAGATAAAAAAAAGGAGACCGATGAAGAGGAGGAAATTATGTTGAAAGGCTGAGAAGTGCGAATACAAAAGAAGGCACACACTCATATTCAATTTCCATAGACTCCTCGAGGAGTATGAAGTCACAGCTCTCAAATCCTATAGTCTCCCTGAAGAGTGTGGCGTTAAAGAAGGTCCTTGGGCTACCAAAGGAACGTGGGGCCACAGCCCTCAAATCCTATAGTCTCCCTGAAGAGTGTGGCGTTAAAAAAGGTCCTTAGGGTACCAAAGGAGTGTGGGGACACAGCCCTCAAATCCTATAGTCTCCCTGAAGAGTGTGGCGTTAAAAAGGTCCTCAGGATACCAAAGGTGTGGGGCCACAGCCCTCAAATCCTATAGTCTCCCTGAAGAGTGTGGCGTTAAAAGGTCCTTAGGCTACCAAGGAGTGTGTGGGGCCACAGCCCTCAAATCCTATAGTCTCCCTGAAGAGTGTGGCGTTAAAAAGTCCTTAGGGCTACCAAAGGAGGTGGGGGCCACAGCCCTCAAATTCTATAGTCTCCCTGAAGAGTGTGGCGTTAAAAAAGGTCCTTAGGCTAACAAAGGAGTGTGGGGCCACAGCCCTCAAATCCTATAGTCTCCCTGAAGAGTGTGGCGTTAAAGAAGCTGCTTAGCCTACCAAAGGAGTGTGGGGCCACAGCCCTCAAATCCTATAGTCTCTCTGAAGAGTGTGGCGTTAAAGAAGTTGCTTAGGCTACCAAAGGAGTGTGGGGCCACAGCCCTCAAATCCTATAGTCTCCCTGAAGAGTGTGGCGTTAAAAAAGGTACTTAGGCTACCAAAGGAGTGTGCGGCCACAGCCCTCAAATCCTATAGTCTCCCTGTAGAGTGTGGCGTTAAAGAAGCTGCTTAGGCTACCAAAGGAGTGTGGGGCCACAGCCCTCAAATCCTATAGTCTCCCTGAAGAGTGTGGCGTTAAAAAAGGTCCTTAGGGTACCAAAGGAGTGTGGGGACACAGCCCTCAAATCCTATAGTCTCCCTGAAGAGTGTGGCGTTAAAAAAGGTCCTCAGGATACCAAAGGAGTGTGGGGCCACAGCCCTCAAATCCTATAGTCTCCCTGAAGAGTGTGGCGTTAAAAAAGGTCCTTAGGCTACCAAAGGAGTGTGGGGCCACAGCCCTCAAATCCTATAGTCTCCCTGAAGAGTGTGGCGTTAAAAAAGTCCTTAGGCTACCAAAGGAGTGTGGGGCCACAGCCCTCAAATCCTATAGTCTCCCTGAAGAGTGTGGCGTTAAAAAAGGTCCTTAGGCTACCAAAGGAGTGTGCGGCCACAGCCCTCAAATCCTATAGTCTCCCTGTAGAGTGTGGCGTTAAAGAAGCTGCTTAGGCTACCAAAGGAGGTGTGGGGCCACAGCCCTCAAATCCTATAGTCTCCCTGAAGAGTGTGGCGTTAAAAAAGGTCCTTAGGCTACCGAAGGAGAGTGGGGCCACAGCCCTCAAATCCTATAGTCTCCCTGAAGAGTGTGGCGTTAAAGAAGGTGCTTAGGCTACCAAATGAGTGTGGGGCCACAGCTCTCAAATCCACTACTGTACATGAGAAGTACGTGTCACCGCTCTCAAGTTCTGTGGACTCCCTGAGGATTATAGGGCCACAGCTTTCAACACATCAAGGATCCGTCATGATCTCTGATCCGTGACAAAGTATCAGTCCTTGGCTTTTGACACATCCGAGATTGATGTTTGATCAGAAATCAAAAAAAAGGTTTTGTTTGGAATATTCACGAAAGCAAAATCGGAATCGTTCTTTTGTGATAGAATACGCAAGTTAACTGAAAAGCAAAATAGATTGATAGGAAAACCACTGCTCTCATGTTCCGTAGATAACCTGAGTATGGGTCACAGCTCTCTTGTCCAGTAGACTCCATTCGGTGTATAGGTCCACATCTATCAAGTCCCCTAGACTCCTTGAGGAGTGTGGGACCACAGCTCTCAAGGCCCATAGAGGTGTATGGGTCACAGCTTCATAATGTTTAAGTCAATTTTTTCGTTTGTAGGTACATTAGAAATTATGCATTTTTTAAAAACAATCTCTTAAAATTCGTGTGTCCAATATTTTTGTGATTGATTATCGTTTATAAAATCATTGTCAATGAAAAGTGAATCCGACAATTTATAGATGTTTGGCCATTGTATTTAGAGACTTTTATTAGCTAACTGCGTTTCCCATTTAAAAAAAAAGGAAAGAATTAAGAAAACCATTCTCTAGTCTCCTACATATAATACTATTTTTTAATAAACCAAAGAATGAATCCTAAAATGAATCCTTTAGCGGAATGAGAAAGCGGAGAGCGGGATTCAAATTGCATTCGGGTTCGTTACGTTCACTTAAGCGTAAATAATCTTGTGAAAGAAAAGTATGAACTCTTCTTCCATCTATGGGTGAAAGAGTAAACTTGTATCTGGAAAAATACATTGTGACTCTTAAACAATTGTTAATTCACTAGCAAAAAAATCCCTAAAAAATGTAACATATGTTGCGGCTTTAAATAACCTAAAAAGGCTGATAAACAGTAAAAATCAATTAATAAACAATTTAGTAAAAAAAAAAAAAATCTGCTTACGGGATAAAGGAGACATATTAATTCACAATTGGTAAAGGGTTCAGATTTCGGCATGACTTCCCAACTTTTTCCTTCATTTGATCTTTGTTCATACGAAAAGGTTTGGTCTGGTTTATTTTGTATTGCGGCATATCAACCTCAATGGTTTATTTAACGCCGTCAACATTTTTTAGGATAGATTCCTATGAATAGAATATGTATTCTTTGGTTTAGATTGGTTTGGTTTATTTTGC